ATTTCACTGTACAAGTGGTATTCTATAAGGTCCGCTATTTAAATTAGATTAAAATAAATAAAAGCCAAGATAAAAGTTAAAGACGAGAAAATGTACAAAGTCAATAAGACTATATAATTTAGATAAAACTGACTAATTGTCACCCAGGAGCTTTTTAAGATTCCTGGTACAGTAAATATATGAACAGGCATAGGCTTTTTAAGGTCATCCGATAGAGAGTTCCAATCTTGTGATGCTCTAAAGTATGTGACTCGTTTTCTCCAATCCGTTCTTACATTGGGAAGACTCGGCAAATTACCGTTTCTTGTGTTGTACACATGGAGTGTAGTAACGTGTTTTGGAATATTTCCTTTGATTGCATTGTGAACATCAACACATGACACATCGATGTCCAAAACGTCTTCTCGCCAGCGGAATCCAACTTTTTAGCACCTCCATGCATGACCTCATCCGAAGACAGTTTGCAATTTACGATTTTCTTTGCAAATTGGAATCCTTGTAAACGTGCCATTTCTGATTTCATTCCCAAATGGTGTCTGCATAATCTAAACATGACGACGTACAGTGTAACTGTACGCTAACAATTAAGGCGCCGTAGCTTGCTACGTTTGGACTTTCAGTTATATCCCGTGATAATTTGCGGGGATTTTTTAGCGATTATTCTGTCATACCATGCGACTAACAGTGGCGGACAAGCGACGGGGGCACGACCGCCCCCCCCCCCCACTTAGGAGCCTTTGAATAATTATCGATTAACTGACTGTAATGAAGCTATATAGCAATTATTTTACTGTACAACCGTGAAACTGTGAGCAACATTTTGTTAAAAGTCCAGAAGTTTTAAGAGTTGCAGAAAAACCCGAAAAGTGAATTGGAAATGAGATAGTAATCTGAGTTTTCGCATTTTTGAGCCGTCAAAACAAGGGTACAGTGCTAAATATCCTTTGTGTTTTGCTCATGAATTGAGAAATATTTATTTCCAGGTCCTTGGGCTTTTCATAGTATGGAAGATCATGAAGAAACGACAATGGAGAATAAGACTGCTGTGGAAGACCTGAAACTCTTGATTGAAAGTATTAAATATCAACAACAAGATTTGGAATTCCAGGAGCAAGCTTTAAAGACCATGGCATCTGTCTTTCGTACTAGTGGTAAATATGCTTTTGAAAAAAAATATATTGAAAACGTTTTTGAACATGTTTGTGAAAGTTAAAAAACCATATTAAAATTCATATAATAATTATCTATATATTTTCTAGATAGTGCATCAAGTTATTTGGTTACTTCCGATGGACTGGAACACATCTTAAGAATATTGTTATCTAGCAACGACAAACCAAACTCACTTCGAGAGGCTTGTCTGCATGCATTGTGTGCTGCATGTGAAAATAACGGTAAGATGATCCGACGCATGCTCCCTATTTGATGACTCCGGAGTTTGTATTGACTGTTGGAATTTTGACATCAGGTCACGGGCTAAAGCGTATGTTCTTTGGATTACGGGATGTTTAACCCTTTCGTGGTTTTTTTGGAGCATCACTGAAAGCCGATTTTCAGACGACCATTCAGAAACCGGTTTTGATATTTTGCTTGGAGAAATGGAAATCTCATCAGGGAGAAAAACTTGTAATACCTCAAACTTATTTCAATTTCAGTCAAATAATGAAATAATTTTTTCATCAAAAGCTAGAGCTGGTCTTCGCAAGCGCTCCGTACCTTTGTGAAATCGTATGTTAAGTTTTTGTGTATAAAGCGTTCATATTACATGGCGTTATACAATTTTAACGGACAATATGTTTGAGACTACATTATTTTCTAATAAAATCAACGGGATAGTATTTGCATTTGAAACGTACTATTCTGAATAAATAAAATGGAGAAAGATTTCTTATAGAATTCAAAGATTCCTTATAGCCAAATTTATATTTGTAACAATGTGGCTGTAGGCTACAATGTGGTTGTGAATCGGCAGAGCGGTTGTGATTAATTTTTCTGGTTGAGGCCTTTATATTGAGGATTACCTGAAAACATAAACATGCATTGAAGTACTGATTCCTTATACATGCATATAGATGATTATACATGAAAAAGCTTTCAAACTTTTATTAACATTACGCGTGGTAGTGGTACGTTTCCAGTTCCACTATATCGATGGCCACAATGTCGTTTTTCGGAAGCCAATTTCAAGAAGGAAAACGAAATCCTATTCCGAATTGCACCACTCCAGCACTTCTTGCCAATAAATATGTGAGTCGTTGTAAACATGTCACAAAACTCAACATGTTATTTCGATTCTATATTTCAAATTCTTGTAAGTAGGCTATATACAATGTCTATCGAAAATATTACCTTGTGTCTTGTTTTCAGCAACCTGTATCTGCAGTTAACAAGTGATATAGTATTCGTGGAGTATGTATTTTTTTCTAGTATTGTGACAAAGCTACCCCTATTAATCTATTATTCCTATAGCTATTGCACAACAAGCACTGTGTATACTGGAGATCTTTTATGTGCTGAAGAAATTTTTGTTGATGAAATCTTCGACAAGATTACAGACACTTTCTTGTTATCTACTAATTTGTCTCATGACAAATAATGGTATGTAATCGACGGCCTTAACCTGGATCTAGAATATATAGGTGTCCTAATTGAATCTCTAGACTATAGATGTATAGAGGCTTCCAAAGTGCATGGGAATCTCGTAAAGAATGTGAAGAATCGAGTCATTGCACTGCGTGGAATAATTTGCGTATTGGTGGTTGGATTCAATAATAAATATTATAATTTATGTTTCCATTGTTCCAGAGAAAGGCCAGACTCTTGCAAGGGAAACAAAATGTGTTGACACATTGCGTTACCTTTTCAAGTAAGTCATTACTTAATTATAATTGAAGATGGTACCTTTAAGAATATAGAAAAAAATTCGAGTGAAGACCCTTCGTCAGTACCCTGGTTGCCAGAGGTTCTGTATCTTTCGCCTTTTTCCCGCTCGAATTTATTTTACGCGAGGCGAAGAGAACCTCTGGTGGCACGCGATACAAATCTCTCTTCCTTTGGTACAAAATTTGTACCAAGCACATGATTGGTTAGTTATAATTAGCAGTCACTTGAATTGATGTGATTGGCTAGACAAAAAAACCTGTTTATAAATATCAGAGAACATGATGTAAACAAAATACAGAAATAATACGAACGTATTTAAAAATTTAAAATGCATGCTTACTCAGTGTGGGTTACTTGAGATTAACTTAGTTTGTTCCGCTATAAAAATATTTTCTGCGCTGGAGAAGAGCTGCCATCGCGGCATGACTTGAGAGTCGACGGCATGACATGTTCACTCTATACAGTAGTATTTTTTGTAAAATATGAAGTGTTTGCATGTCACTTACTTATCGTTCAAGGTTTTAAATTTTGGTAATTATTCGACTTTAATACTTATTAATATGGTTTATTTTGCCAATATTTTTCCGTTGTCTGTTTATAAGGACAACCATACTGGCTCCGTTGCACACATATGTATAAATATTTATATGTTTATATTCTTTCACTTTTGACTTTTATACGTTCGCTAATACAAACGGCAATCCACAATCAGTAAGGTTGTTTTTTGTTTTGTGCGTTGCGAGAATAGTCTACATGTTTCTAATAAATAACTACAAGTGTTTGGCCTGCTTATTTTAAATATTTTACACAAAGCTGACAAACAGTCTGAAGAGAGCTATTTTGGTAGTATGACAAACCCGGAAGTTTACAAACGTCACAAAATATAAAACCGGTTTTGCAAGTTCTCAAACAGCAACGTCAGCATGGAAGAGAGATTTGTATCGCGTGCCACCAGAGGTTCTCTTCGCCTCGCGTAAAATAAATACGAGCGGGAATAAGGCGAAAGATACAGAACCTCTGGCAACCAGGGTACTTCGTCAGTAACTTTTTCAATCCTGCTGCTTATTACATTCTCCAACTAACTCTTAAATATACAGCTATTTCAATTAAGGTTGTCCACGAGCAAAGCGGAAAAGTCGAATACGAGCGCGAAAGGCTGCTGCATGGGAATCGCTATGAAAATTCATTAATTTGTTAGCGATTCCCAGCAGCCTTTCGCGCTCGTATTTGACTTTTCCGCTTTGCTCGTGGACAACCTTAATTGAAATAGCTGTATACAAAGAAGGTCCAACGTTAATTACTGAATTTCACGACAGCAGCTAAATTCTGAAAGAGGGAAAATACTTCTCGACTTTTCCAGTACTCTCCCTTCGTTCAGGAGAGTCCTACTGATTCTAAATTCTGCTCTTAAGGTTTACCATAGTGTGCTATTATTGTAGAAAATACGTCTTGTCTCCAGTTCTAGTATCTTCTTAATTGCAGAGATGTTCATTCTCCATCGTGTTCTCCTCGTATTCCAAACAGACTAACCGAATGTGTTTCATCTGAATGCCAAGAAAACGAAGCTTTGATTAACCTTTGGCAAACAGCGACGAATGCCCTGTCTGTTTCTGTTAATAACCCACAAAACAGTACGTATATATACATTACCTATAATATATATCTATTATATGTATTTATTTAACAATTATTTAATGAGGTTGAGCATCACTAGCCTGAGTCAGACGAATAGAATATAATTCGTTATTCGTCTGACTCAGGCTAGAGCATGACATGCAGAATAACCGTTATATAGAAGTGCTTACGTCACGCAATTTTCAATCTATCAAAACAATTTTCGGGTGACGTCCGTGTAGGAATGTTCGGTATGAGAAATTTCCGGTATCGGTAAGTACCGAAAAAATTATACCGATATTATCGGTATACCGGTTTTTCTTTGATAATTATAAAGGAAAATTCTTAATGATGGAAGTTTGAAGAAAATTTTGAGTAATTCTAAAAGGGAAAACGATAATTTCGAAGCTGTTTCGAACATGTTTCGAATGACATGCACGTACTCAGTATAAAATCTCACTGAAGTGGAAATCCTAAATCATTGCAGTAGAAAGTTCTATGAATTGCCATTCAGTAGTGAAATAAAGGTTATTGTTTCGCCATATAGTTGGTAAATTTAACACGGTATACCGAAAAATTCCAGTATATCGGAAATTTCGGTATATCGGTATGGTTGAATATCCGGTATCGATATACCGATATTGATTTAATACCGATATTTTCGGTATATAGAGGATATTTCACGGTGGCACGGAAATATGACTTTTATTTTCGAGTGGTGAAAACAATATTTTACGAACCAGCGCAGCGAGTGAGTAAAATATTGTTTTCAACACGAGAAAATAAAAGTCATATTTCCAAAGGCACCGTGAAATGTTCTTTTTATTATATGGATAAAAGTTGAAGCAAAAACAACAAAACGTATGACTTTATTAGTTTATTCAAGTTTTGTTTTTTGTTTTGTAGCTCACCGTACGGCAACAATGTTTATGTCTCTCCACTTGCTAATCGAGGCTAAATAGTCGCTGAAGATCGCCAAATAGGACTAATTAGTCTTCCTTTTTGTGTTTTCATTTTCTTCAGAAAACCTTGCCAAATCATGCAGCGTCGAAAACATCAACAAAATGTCGAGAAGTTGTCATATTGTATATTCAAAACAGAAACGGCAAAATGGCGGGAATTAGCGTGGGTCCCGCGCGAGACGTTCCCGCGTAAGATATGATTTCATATTTCACTATAGTGAAATACGGAAAATATCAGTGGCGTATTTTACGGTATTTTACTCATATGCATACAATAAATCGGTATAACGAACAGTCCTACGTCCGTGTTGACGAAAACTTAAGCTCTGACAGTAACGTGACGTATCAGGACTTCTTGGGGCAATTTAACAAGCCCGCGAATTTCATTATGTTATCAATCGAAGGCGAAGGCTGACAACACAAATTGAGGGCTTGATATTTTTCATATCTTGCATGCAAAAACCGAATTCAGTAATTGTTTTATTTATTTAAAAGATGAAAAAGACATGGGCATCTGTGAGGTCAATTCGTCCAAAGAACGACCAGTTCTTTTTTCCCATTTGCAGAAATTCTTTCCTTCTTTCTATCTTAATTCTCTCCTTGTTTCTATCTTATGTGTGAATAACCTAGCACCCGACTACCTTTGTAACAAATTGATAAAAAGGTCATCAATCCACGACCGTAGGACTCGTACACACGACTCTCTTCAAATACCTCTATTTAATAAGTTCTTTGAATGTTTGCATGGCGATAAAATATAATTGTTTTTGTTTGTGGAAACACCACGTAAATTTATTACTGCAAAGCTTTCGATCCGTAAGCCCGGATCTTCATCAGTGCTAATAATATGTGACTTGTTTAATTCACACGCTCTTTTATATACAAGAGTGTCGTGATCTGTTGGCTCGCGTCATTTGAAATTTAATTAAACGGCACATCAACCACGTCATTTCAAACGTAGTGAAGTGATTCCAATTAACGCGCGCGCATCCAAGACAAGAGAAATTAATTTTGCACATTAAAGAGAGCACGCCTCTATTTAAGACTGCAGCTGGCAAACGATCATTTACATATACAGCCGTCCATATTTGGAACAATTTAGACAAGAACTTGAAAGACTGCTCTTCACTTAAAATTTTTAAAGTAGCACTTAAAAAAACATTTGCTTGCAAAAGATAACATTTAGTATAACCAACTAAACTTTGTATATAGTCTTTGATAATTGTTTAAACTTATATTTGTAACCTTAATTATTACTGCATGCATGTAACTGTAAATAATTTCTGAAAAACCCTTTTAGGGAGAAATTTATTATTAAATATCTAAATATCTATCTAAGTACGATAAGATGTTTCAAAACCTG